TTTCTACCGTTCTACTCGTTTACACAAAGTAATCATTGTATATGGGCCAACATAAACATGGAACAGTATTTCAAATGGGCCAAAAGCACTTTAAGGTAGGCTGCTTCTGTTAGTGCTAACCAGCTGTTTTCAGTTTTTTCAACCGAGACCGGGTTACAACTGTCCATGTGGATCTGTGCTTTGGGCTTCCCAGTTCCTATTGGGCCTGTTTGACCTTAATCTTCAATATTGGGACACTCATTCTAGATTTTCATGTTGAAAAACTTCTCATGAAAATGTAAACACTCTCTCAGTGGTCAATAAAGTTTACACGAGAATCATGCAATTAAGATTTGTTTAGATGTGAATATCTTGACTTTCTTTTACTTGATAGTCAACTTGAATAAAAGCATGAAAGATTCTAGGGTCCCTAAAAATCGAAACATAGGCCGATAATAGATTTTCAATGGCATATAAGTCATAGGCATATCTATGAAATCCTGTGTGATTCGATTTGCGTGGATATCTTTGAACTTCCTCCACTTGAAAATCATGAGTTCGAACGAGATTTAGGGTTTTATCGAGTCAGTTAAGGTACTTGATTGAGGTTTGCATGCGTCGGTTAAACAGTTGTAGTTCTTTTAGCGTGCGTTATTATTAAATGACTTTAACGTGTGTACTATATATATTTGAATTTCCAATTTTCTTTCTTTTTGGAAAAATTGCATGCCAAAATCATGAATGAAAAATGGTCTACAAATTAGGCAATTAGTAGCATGCATGCATTGCTCCCAATTTGGTAGACACTCAATGTGGAACTTGTTAGAGAAAACACCATCTTCCCCAAAGGTCCCTTCATAAGGGCACAATTTAATTTCATAGTCCTCATGATGAATAGTAGGTATAGACTATGTAGCCAACAAATTAATATACCCAATACAACGACAAATATAAAATTAAATTAAATCATAATATAGGGAGTGCAAAATATATATTTTTTAAAATTTTTAAAACTAGGATACATATAATGTGACACCTATTTAATTAGCCCACGAACTGAGATTTCAAAAGATCTTCATGATGTGGTATTAATTGATGCAATTAATTAGATATAAATGATATAGACAGCAAACAAATAACCTGTAAGTTGGTAGGGGAAAAAAAAAACCTCTACCATGGCCACAATTTTTATTTTTAAATTTTATTCAGCTTAATAATTAGGCCACGAATGCTCCAGATTATAATTATTATCATAAAATTAAAAAAAAAAAGTAAGCAAATAAAATATTTAATTAATAGGATAAATATAAAATTAAACCTTACAAACATGCTAAGGTGGGCTTAAATCCGCCGCATCAATTATCATCATTAATAGTTTTATCAAATTATTTAACTAAATACTTTTGTGTAATTTAATACATAAGATTTTGCATAACGACGTGCAATATAAACTAAAAAAATTTAGTTGTGGGGCAGATATATTTAAAAATCCGTACACTTAGAAATAGACAATTTTGCTCACGGGCCTGGCTCTTGCTTTACTGATACACGTTAGTTACCAATAATATAAAAACATTAACTCGTTATCTTATGAACATGGCGCGCGCATGAATGTGAGATTTTATTGATTTTCTCGAAAAGAAAAAATATATATTGAAAATGAAAATGTAAGTTCAATTGAGAGAAATAAACAAATAGTAATAATGAATACACGCTATATAGAATTGATCACATCACTTTTATAACAAAATATAATAATTATTTTAAAGAAAAAGTCATTTAGCTATTTTTTTTTTGTTACAAAGGTATAATAATAATAATAATAATAATAATAATAATAATAATAATAATAATAATAATAGAAATATGAATGGTTCCTGTGGGACGGACACAATCTCGTGAGAATCTATGTATTCTGTTGATGGTTTGATGCCCTTTGTCCTAAAGTTGGAGAGACAATGGCCTAAATTATAAGGATCACCAGTATCTAAATTATAATTCTCATTTATTATTAGCATTATAATTTCTTAGCATGTTTCTCTTTTCCAATCATTTACCAAGAAAAAAAAAGTTAATTTCTCCATCTATCCTAGTTAATAATTTTTAGTGAATTTATTTGTTAAATGAAATAGGGCGACTATGAGCTCGGATGATTCAACTCGTTAATATTGATAAATGAGTTAACAAATTGAGTCGACATCAAACTAGATATGCAAACAATAAGATTTGAAAAATATGGACTTTACTCAGACTCTCAAGACTTGATATCGACTCGTTAGGGCTCGAGTTCGACCTGTTAATTTTAATAAATGAACCAATAATCTCGAACTCCATGGGAGGTTTGTTTAGTTAATGAGTTCAGCCAGACTCGATAAATTATCTGAGCCAAGCTCAAGTATTAGAAATTTGAAATTGTACCAACCTGTTTACAACCATAAATTTATCACAAAGGAAAAAGATTACAATTTTCTTTTTTATTTGTAGATTGGAAAAGAAAAAAATAAAAAAATGATGCATTTGTGTTTTGATTTTGTAAATTGCATGGCAAACCGAAGGCTGATTGACATTTTAATACAAGAGTACCAATTTTTGGTTTGCACTAAAGTTTCAAGCTTCGATACATTTTTATTATTTTTAAATGCATGAATTTCTTACTATGCCTAATTCCATAAAGTCAAAAGGTAAACCAAATTATTCTATTGAAAAAAAAAATGTACANAAAAAAAATAAAAAAAAAAAAATAAAAAAAAAAATAAAAAAAAGAGTAAAACTACAATATTGACTCAATTCTAGTTTAGACTGTCAAAGAATCTTAATGTGGACCCCTAGAGTTGATCTTCATTTAATTTAAGTATTTTAGGCGTGAACGGCGAAGCAAGAGGTAGGATACCATCAATAGTCTTTACATCTTAAATAATGACAATAAATAATAAATTGTGAATTATCAAAATTAATTGTATGTCTCGGAGGATTAACCAATATTTAACAGTGCATAAATGTTTTTCGGGTAAGAAGCCCTCTATTATATTTGACTAGTTTAGTTGAATTTCAACCAATTATCCAACCAAAATTATATGGAGGGAATGGATGATTCACTTATAAAGTCATTCATAATTTGATACATTGATACATGTCGAAACTGCATTTATTAAAGGAAACGTGTCATTACACTATTTGTGAATAATTGTGAATGATTCCATAAGTTGTGTCATCCGATGGTTCCATAGCAAAATTATTTATCCAACCTAAATTGATTGCAAAAATATAGATAGAGTTGTGAACGAAACGTTTTGCACGTTTGTGAGTTCGACTAGGCTTCACTTGTTAAGATTTAAATTACGCTAGCTTATAACTAAATGATGTGAGCTTGATTTCGTTTAGTAAACGATTTGAGATCGATTCACTTCGGTATAATTAGAGTTGTTAAATGAAACGAGGTGCATGTGAGCTCGATTCGGCTCATTTGATGAACAATCTGAACTTGAACTCATTTAAAACTTGTTTGGTTAACAAGTTGGGCTAGATTGGACTCGATGAAGCTTGAAAATCTATTTTTTGATATAATTTTCTATTGTTTGACTCGTTAAAGCTCGATTTTGACTAATTTAAAGCTCGTTTGGTTAACCAGTCGGGCTCGATTGAACTCGATGAAGCTTGAAAATTTGATTTTTGACATAATTTTTTATTGTTTGGCTCATTAAAGCTCGATCTCGACTTATTAATATTGATAAATGAACCGAGCTCGAGCTCTATTACAAACTCATTAAGTTACCGACCTGATGAGCAGGGCTTGAGCTTGAACTTGACTCATTTACATTGCTAATTATGACAAAAAATGAGAGTCTTTATGCATTTTATATGAATCAGCTCATTAAAGGGGTGATTGTTTATTGTTTATTGTTTTAGCTAAAAAAAATCAAATAAAACTCAATTTATCAACTAATCATTCTTATACATCACATCAATTTTAATTCACTCACATAATTTTAATTAACCATCACTTCCAATCATTTTTCTCCTACTTTACATCAAATCAACTTTAATTATTTTATTTAAATATTATTTTAATATATCCACTAACAACTAACCATGTCATTTTTTTAAAAATTAACTATAATCAAAAAAATAAATCAAATTAAAATTAATTAAATTCATAAATAATCACCCTAAGCGCTTGATCTGATTCATTAACATTGATATAAATTGAACTGGAACGGTTTTTTTACTCAATTTAAACTACACTTCGAGAGCTCGAACTCGGTGCGTCGTTTATATTTTTAAATACATTTTCATTCCGAATCATCTAGTATAGTAATACCATAATTGTCTTTGATCGATAATATAAAATGGTTTAAAATAATAATATTCAGTCAACAGCAAATAAAAACATCTTCAAAGACAAATCTCACATTCACATAGGGCCCTTTGACAAAGTCTGAAGACCCTGTTAGATATCAAGTTATCGACACATGAAAATTCTATCTTCACTTTTGTAAATTTTGAGATTTTATTTAATCATTTTAGCCGTGGGTAAACTCAAAGACGTCTAATCACATTATTGATTCAATTTTAGTTAGTCAAAATTGACATAATAGAATTTTGTGCACCTTCAACCCTATTGAAGAAACATTCATCATTCAAAAAGTCGAGCAAATCAATATTGACCACACTTTTATTGACCAAATTATATTTCCAAAAGACTAATCCTAAATTGTCAATTTAATAAACAACTAAGTTGACAATATAAGTGAAACCATTCAAAGAAATAAAAATAAAAAAATATACAAGTGAATATTTTTACTTGTATTTTTAACCTAGTTGTATACTAAGTTGGTAATGTAGCATTTTTCATTACGAAATCAATTCTTATTATTCCTCAAAATTTGTATAATTCAATACTGAAAAATTTTGTATAGAGTATTTTTAAACTATTTTTATACCTTTAACGAAAAATTCACTATGCACTTTTTTTCTTGAAAAAAAAAAATTGTTTGATTCAATATATAGTAAGAGATTCAATATAGACAATTCCTAAACGTATAGTATAAAAAATTGCTAGCAAAATCTATGCACACTTTTTCATAAACAAGATACAAGTAGAGAAAAAATTTGCTAGCAAAATCTATGTACTCTTTCATAAACCAAATAAATATAGAGTGTTATAATATTTGTGATACACGGATGCTAATTAGAAAAATTATACTTAAATAACTAAAGGGATGCTTTGGTTTTAAGTTAATTTCCAAATTCTTAAAAACATTGCATTATTATTGTTATTAAAATGACAAATGCC